CCCCCCCTTTGCCAGCTAGATAGAGATTTCCTCCTTCGCCCCCCCGACGGATTTTTCCATTTTCGCATACAAGTATTAATCTATTCACATTACTGTGGAGAGTTCAAAAACTCAGAGGGAACCAACCAATATCAGCCTCACGCTGTTGGGTTGAGTAGGAGGAGCTTGAGTATAATAAGATTCCGCCATTCCACCTCTGCCCGTCCCTTCTGTGTGTGTGTCTCTCTCTCTACTCTCTCTCTCTCCCTCACAACATCGTCCTTTCCCTTCTTCCCACCTCTACCCCACCAGAGGTCAAGACATGGCCAGCAAGACAGCGGCTCCGGCCAACGAGTACTCGGCCGCGGCGGCCGCGCGGAAGGAAGGCGTGACGGTGACCGACGTCGACGCCACGAACATGGACCATACCGGCTCGGCCGACGACAGCGACGACGCCCTCGACGCCCAGGCCGGCGTGCAGGGCATCGAGGCCACGACGTCGGTGTGGACAAAGGCCGCCCTCATCTTCGCCTACGTGTGGATCTGGATCGTCTACTTCGTCGACACGACCCAGCAGGGCGCCACGTCGTCCCTGACCCCCTACGTCACCTCGGCCTTCCAGCAGCACTCGCTCACACCGACCGTCTCGATCCTCAGCAGCATCATCGGCGGCGTCTCCAAGCTCACCATCGCCAAGATGCTCGACGTCATCGGCCGTCCTGCCGGCTACATGCTCTGCATCATCCTCACCACCCTCGGCCTCGTCCTCATGGCCGCCTGCGACTCGGTCGAGATGTACGCCGCCGCCCAGGTCTTCTACTGGGTCGGCTACAACGGCCTCACCTTCTGCCTCAGCATCTTCATCGCAGACACGTCGTCCCTCAGGAACAGAGGTCTCATGTTTGCCTATGCCAACTCTCCCTACATCAGTACGTCTCCTCCTCCTCCTCCTCCTCCCTAGAAATCTCTACATCCCTCTCTTCTTCACCACTCCCGTCGTTTCTCGCATTCCAACCTACGTCTGTCCAGTCACCACCTGGCTCTCCGGTCCCATCAGCGAGGCCATCCTCGACGGTCCCGGATGGCGCTGGGGCTTCGGCATCTTCACCATCGTCACGCCCGTCGCCACGCTTCCCCTGTGGGTCCTCTTCGTCCACTACGCGCGCGTGGCCCGCGCGCAGGGCCTCCTCGCCAACACGCCGAGCGGCCGCAACGCCTGGCAGTCCTTCGTCCACTACGCGCGCGAGTTCGACGCCGTCGGCCTGCTCCTCATCTCGGCCGGACTCTCCCTCTTCCTCCTGGCCTTCAACCTCGAGCCCAGGCAGTCCGAGGGTTGGAGCTCGGCCCTGGTGCTGTGCTTCATCATCATCGGCATCGCCCTCATCGTCGTCTTCGCCGTCTGGGAGAAGTGGTTCGCCCCCGTCACCTTCATCCCCTACGGGCTGCTCGTCGACCGTACCGTCCTGGGCTCCTGCGTCCTCGCCGGCTCCCTCTTCGTCAGCTTCTACATGTGGAACTCGTACTTCTTCTCCTTCCTGCAGGTCGTCAACGGGCTCAGCGTCACGAAGGCCTCGTACGTCACCCAGATCTACAACGTCGGCTCCTGCCTCTTCTCCATCCCCACCGGCCTCGTCATCCGCTACACAAACCGCTTCAAGGGCGTCGCTCTCTACTTTGGTCTGCCCATCAGCATCCTGGGCGGTGCCCTCCTGATCCACTTCCGCCAGCCTAGCGTCGACATCGGATACATTGTCATGTGCCAGATCTTCATCGCCTTTGGAGGTGGTGCTCTGGTCATTGCTCAGTATGTTTTTCTTCTCTACACACACACTCTCTCTCTCCCCTCCCCTCCTCCCTCCCCTCCTCCTCCGTCTCTTTTGGCATCAGGGGCAGAGATGGGAAGCTGACAGGAGGCAGGCAAGTCTCCATCATGGCCGCCACAGGCCACCAGTACATTGCCGTCGTCCTCGCCATCGAGAACATGTGCTCCAGTATCGGAGGCGCCATCGGCTCCACCGTCTCCTCGGCCATCTGGCAGGCCAAGTTCCCGGCCGCCCTGGCCAAGAACCTCCCGGAATCGGCCCAGGCCAACCTGGCGATCATCTACGGCGACCTGACGACTCAGCTCTCGTACCCCGCCGGCAGCGAGACGCGCATCGCCATCCAGGACTCGTACGGCGAGGCGGTGCGCTACATGTACATCTCCGCCACGTGCATAAAGGTCATCTCCGTCGTCGCCGTCCTCTTCTGGCGCAACATCTCACTCAAGGACAAGAAGCAGGTCAAGGGTATCGTATTCTAGGCACTATACACCACATATTACGCATGTTCCCTGTGAAGCGGATGAGAAAGAAGAGGAAAGGGCAAGAATCGGTGGCTCACTCGATGAGGAGCACTGCTGTAATACGACGGGTTTACGATGTTTCACCAAAATAAAAAAGCATGATAATAATAACAACAACAAAAAAAGACCAAACCCCTCATGCGCTCTCGCCGCGCGACCCGAGCTGACCCGAGGTCGTCCTGATATGTAGTCGGGCTAGTAGTCATCTATTGTCTTATATGGCTGGCAGGAGTGTTCTCCACTTCGTGTACAGCATTCACGAGAGGCTATTGTACAGCAACAACTCTCACCGGGGATGGTAGCCATCAATCGATAGCTCTCTAGACAGGTCAACGCTCAAAGAAGGATGTAATAGATGTCTAGCAGTATTGGCTGCTGACATCTGTCAAGGGCGTGGGGAGTGTCAAGACACGTACATCTCCCAGTTCATCTTATACGTAGTAGACAGTATGAAGACTTGGAAGGAGGAAAGAAGAGATGTGTTGTAGAAAGAAGGAGAAAATGACGAGAAAGTAACAAAGAGTACCGGAACCATGAGAAGAAAATAAAAAACGCCAATACCAAATATACGTAGAGGTGCAAATCGGGAAAGATGATCCCGTATATGCATGTTATATATGTGTTGTGTATGTGTTGTGTATGTGTTATGTGTGTGCGCGTGCGTGCGTGCGTGCGTGCGTGCGTGTGTGTGTGTGCGTGTGTGTATGTACATGTAATATTCTCTGTGTCTAAGCCTTGTATCCACCGAGACCGATCCAGCTCCAGCAGACTATGATTGATGTTAGTTCATGGAACAGAAGTGGATGATTTCGAATATGATTGGTATACGAGTACGAGGGAAAGGGGGGAAGGGTGGTGAAGAGGGGGGAAGAATGAAGGAAGAAGAGGATTGCCGAGAAACCTACTGTCAAAGCCGAGGTCATCCCGGAAATACGAGTACATGACATCCTCACCCGAGACGGTTCCGACATCGGGGCCGTAAGCGACGGCCTTCTTGCCGACGGCCAGGCCGATCATGGGAGGCACCTCCTGGAGCTCCAGGAACTGGGCTTCGTAGCCGGGGATGTGGCTGGCGAGGATGCTCTGGTGGATGTTGACGGCCATGTAGTGGCCGTGGTGCATGGCGCCTCCGCAGCGCTTGATGCCGGACCAGAGGACGGCGTCGCCGCCGCAGAAGTGGGAGCCGGCGTTGGGCACGGACGCGGGGAGGGAGAGGTTGGGCAGGATGCGGACGTAGCCCTCCGGGTCGAGCACGTCGGCGGGCAGGTGCTCGGTGGCGGGCACGCTGTTGGACATGGCCATGATGACCTGGCTGGCGGGCATGGTGTGGCCGTTTGTGAACTCGAGCTGGTAGCGGACGCCGTCGGCGTCGGCGACCTCGGTCTTGGAGGCGAGGCGGTGGCCGGTCAGGACGGAGACGCCTCCCTCGCGGAGCAGGTCGGCCGCCGTGTCCTTGCACTCGTCCGACAGGCCCTCGGACGAGAGGAGCTTGTCGCGCGAGTGCGCGAGGGTGACGTCGACGTCGGGCTTGACCAGCTTGAGCTCGGCCGCCATCTCGATGCCGACGGCGCCCCCGCCCACGACGACGACGCCGTGCCGGGCCCGCGCCACGGCGTCGATGTGCCCGTTCGCCTCGGCCAGGTACGCCTTCTTGGTGGTCGACTGGGGTACCACCGGCCAGACGCGGCGCAGGCCCGTCGTCGACACCAGGTAGTCGTACGCGTGGCTCGTCGTCTGACCCGTCGCGCTCTCCAGCACCGACGCCGTCTTGGACGAGGGGTCCACGCCCGTCACGCTGCCGTGGAGGACCGTCACGGTGCTGCCCTCGGGCAGGTGGGACGGCTGCAGAGACGGGATGTCGGCGTACCGCACCCAGGCTTTGTCGGCATACTTGGCGTCGGCGAGGGCGAGGGGGGAACCGATGACGTGAACTAGATCGGAGTGTCAGCTCTCGTTCATTTTTTTTATATATATCATCTCTCTCCCCCTCTCTTTCTTTCTCTTTCGACCCGACCCTCTCATCTCTCTATATATGAACACTCCTTCTCTGTTTATATAAATGTACACACACACACACACACACACACACACACACATACATACATATATATGTATGTATATGTATATATACATGTGCGTATGTATACCCACGTATGCATATAGCATACATATATACATAAATATGTATATATGTACGTACATACAGAGGAATATATATATATCGAGAGAGAGAGAGAGAGATGAGAGGGTCGGGGAAGATGAAAGGGGGAAACTTGAGGTAACGAGAGAGAAGAAAGGACGAAAAACTTACAGAACCCATCACGCTCATCGGCAATAGTTATATCCACATCAAACTTGGGCACCTCGTCACGGTGGGCGTACGGCTCTCCACGCGACATGCGCGGTGTCTGCCCCCTGCAGAGGTCGAGCAGGTTCATGGCGGTGGAGAGGCCGGCATAGCATCCTCCGGCGATGAAGACGCGGACGCGCGGGGTGTTCTCGGGTATGGAGCCCATCTTGGTAGTGGATGTGTATGGGTGATGTGGACGTCCTTGGCCGGAGGAAGGGTGAGGCGAGCAGGAGGAGGAGTGGGAGGAGGCGGAAGGGTGAGAGAAGAGGGCAGAAGAGTGAAGACGGGAAAAGTTGGTCGTCGAGAGATGACGGCGGCGGCTGGTGGGGGAGGAAGGAGAGGAAGAGAGGGAGGAGAAGAAGAAGAAGGAGGGGAGGATGAGGGACCACCACATGGCCGATTTGCGCGGGGCAGCGGCAGCGACTGAGGCAGTGGCAGTATCGGGAACGGCATTGGCAGCGAGACGACGACGGTAGAGCGTGGAAGGGTGAGCTAGATCCACTGGACCGAAGAGAGCGTGGCCATGCAAGGCGTCGGTACGCGGGATACGTATTCTCGGAGGCATTTCCCCCCCCCTTTCTCTCTCCTCTCGTCTTCTTCTTCTTGACCGTGCCGCTTTACTCTCTTATCTCTCCTCTCTTCTTCTTCTCTCCTCCGCTCTTTACAATGCAAGACTAACTCCGATATGAAGATGAAGAGTGAGGAGGTGGAGAGAGAAAGAAGAAAGAATCCATGAAAACAATAATAACCATAATGATGGAGAATCAAGGGGGGAAAAAAGAAGAAAAAAGACATGCTGGCACTTTTGTCAACCTGTGGGAAGGCTCCGAACCCGCCGCCGGGTCCGGAGGGGTAGAGTGCAGTACCGAGAATTTTTTTTATACTAATTTTCTCTTTTCTTTTTTTTTTTAGTTGTTAGTTTTTTTTTTTTTTTTCATCCTTTATCAGATCCGAACGTCTCGGGCAGTGCTCATGCCGAAGTCTAGAAAAATAGCACCACCACGACGTAACCATTATGTTATATTTGCTGATCCCGAGTGGAGCAGATTGGCCTGGTAGCAGTAGTATTGCAAGAGAGTGCAGAGAGGAGACTATTACATATTACAGAGGTTGAGCCATTTTATTCGGGGTCCCACGGATCGCCGACAGTCGGGCTCGATCAGTGCGGTGCTATTTATTATTGTTATTATTATATGTATATATGATATGTATCGATACCTACCCGTTCAGTGCGTCTGTGTGTGTGTGTGTGTGGGCATTCCGTGGATCTTGATTGAAATTAAGACAAGAAAAAAAGACAATGGATGAAAAATGGATGAAAAAACGTTGAAACATGGTAAAGAATTATCAATCTACTGGCAGGTACCTTGTCGATGTAATACTGTCCACACTACTCCGTACCATCATATGACATTACATAATCTGTATATGATGGCTAGGATGAATAGACGGAATAAATTGCCAGTACCAGTACTTGACAGTTGCTCCTACTAGTCATACTATTGAATACTACATATAATATGATGATGAAAATACTACTACTGATGACGATAATAATAATGATAATGATAATAATAATTCATACCGTAGAACCAACTACTCAACAGCAGGCACCACCGAACCGAAATTATCTGATCCGGCCCGGTACCCACTCGCGCCACACATGCCTTCTTCTCTTGGCGCCCGCCCTAGACACACGCCAAGTCCGTCATCGGCATGCTTCGTCGTCTTCTAGCTCTGCTCTGCGGGCAGAAGAGACGAGAGACTCGGTCGATGACATGCATGACGTACGAGAAATAACAGCGTCGATGGAAAAGAAAAAAAGAGGGGAGGGGGGACGAACAGAAAAGAAGAAAAAAAGAAGTAAAAAAAAAAAACTCGTATCGAGAACGGTGCGGTGTTGTACTCGCATCCTAGTCACCGAGGATGCTACCGGGCCATGCGTAGAGATCCCACCACAACTCGTACATATATATACACACATATATATATGTACTCTCGATACGTACGTGCTGGGTATCCCCGGTACGAGTACGAGTACCGTTACATCTGTACCGCCCCGGGCGTGTCTATATCATGCGACCAGACCCTAGCACAGACCATCGTACCGGTACATGCCCCCCCCCCCCCCCCCCCCNGTTACATCTGTACCGCCCCGGGCGTGTCTATATCATGCGACCAGACCCTAGCACAGACCATCGTACCGGTACATGCCCCCCCCCCCCCCCCCCCCTCTTCATGAATTAGTTTCATGCATGAAGCCTTTCTACCCATCAGACTCGTAATACCGCGTTCCGTTTTGCCTCCCCACTCTCAGTATATTCTTTTTTTTTTTCTTTTTTTTCCTTCTCTTTCTTTTCTTTCTCGGACCCTTGATGGGGCCCTTGCCTTTCTCTCTCTCCCTCTCCCTCTCCCTTCCCCCCTGTTGTTTCCGGGGCAGAAAAAAAAATTAAAAAATATTAAAAAAAAAGTGACGAGGCAAGTTGAGAAATAGGGACGACGGGTTTTAGATTGATAATCCTCCTTCTCCTACTAATTACTACCTACTACTACCTACTACTACTACTGCTACCATTACTACCATTACTACCATTACTACCATTACTACTACTACTGCTACTGCTACTGCTACTGCTACTACTACTATTACTATTACTACTACCATCCTTCCCTCTCTTTCCCTTCTCTTCCTCTCTACCTTCTCTTCTCGACACCCAATTACGGTATGAGTCGTGAGAGAGACAGCCTCTTCTTCCCCTAGATCAACATCTCCTCCACATAAGAAGCCGAGGAAAGAAAGAAAGGAGAGAGAGAGAGAGAGAGAGAGAGAAAGGGAGAAAGACTCTCGGCCAGAGTAGGACAGACATCATGGCTGTCGACTCACCCGTCGTCGCGTCCACCAGCGACGATGCCGTCTCGACAACGTCTCAGCACCGGGAGCAGCGGGAGCGGGATGACGTCGAGCAGCTGGATGGAAAGGCCGTCGGATCGAGCGCGACCAGCTCAAAGCCCAGATTCACCCAGACTCTCGTCAACTTCTTCCAGCTCCTCGTCTGCGCTGACCCGACATGGGTAGACTACACCCTCCTCGTCGTCGGCACCATCTCCGCAGCCGCCTCCGGCGTGCCCTTCCCCCTCATGGGTATCATCTTCGGTAAGCTCCTGGACGACATCAACTCGGCCAGCTGCGAGGTCAAGGCCAGCCCCGACGGCAATGCCCAGGACACCCAGCACACCATCAACAAGCGCGTCCTCATCCTCGTCTACCTCGGCATCGCCGTCTTCGTCCTCATCTACGTCTACGTCACCACCTGGGGCATCTTCAGCCGCCGCGTCGAGAGGCGCCTGCGCGACCGCTACTTCCAGATGCTCCTGCACCAGGACGCCTCCTTCTTCGACACCAGGCAGGCCGGCGAGCTGTCCTCCCGCCTCAACGCCGACATCCAGGCCGTCCAGTCCGGCACCTCTGAAAAGGTCGGCATGGTCCTCGCCTGCGTCTCCTTCTTCATCACCGCCTACATTGTCTCCTTCATCAGTAACTGGAAGCTCGCCTGCATGCTCCTCTCCCTCATCCCTGCCTTCCTCCTCCTCGCCGCCGCCGGCAGCGCCTACACCCAAAAGTTCACCGTCGCCATGTCCGACGCCCTCGCCTCTGCCTCCTCCGTCGCCCAGGAGACCCTGTCCAACATCGCCGTCGTCCAGGCCTTCAGCGCCGGCCCCCGCCTCGAGTCCAAGTTTGCCTCGCGCATGCACGAGGCCCAGGCCCAGGGCATCAAGAAGGCTGTCGCCGCCGCCGTCCAGGCCGGTGGCCTCTACTTCATCGCCTTCTCCGCCAACGCCCTCTCCTACTGGCAGGGTAGCAGGCAGATTGCCGACGCCTACGAGAGCGACGACGGCGCCACTGCCGGGAAGATCTACACCGTCATCTTCCTCCTCGTCGATGGTAAGTCTCAAAAGTCTCCCCCTCCCTATACTTGAAATCCCCACCCATGAGCCTCCACCACGTCGTCGTCGGCCGACGCAGTCTTGAATCCCCATATCCACCTTGAGACACGCCGCTGACACACCGAGCACAGCCTGCGTCGTCCTCGGCTCCATTGCTCCCGTTCTCCCTATCCTGGGTAGTGCCGCCGCTTCCTACCAGAAGCTGCGCGAGGACATGGAGGCCCCCGTCGCCATCGACTCGTCCTCGCCCGCCGGTACCAAGCTCGACGCCCCCATCCAGGGCGCCGTCTCCTTCAAGAACGTCACCTTCGCCTACCGCTCGCGCCCCGACCGCCCCGTCCTGAAGAACGTCTCGTTCGAATGCCCTGCCGGAAAGTACACTGCCCTCGTTGGTCTGTCGGGTAGCGGCAAGTCCACCGTCGCCGGCCTGACCGCCCGGCTCTATGACCCGGCCGAAGGCACCATCACCCTGGACGGCCACGATCTCCACAGCCTCAACATCAGGAACCTGAGGAGCCACATGAGTCTCGTCCAGCAGGAGCCGTCGCTGCTCGACCGTTCCATCGTCGAGAACATTGCCCTCGGTCTCGTCAACTCCCCCCAAGACAGCCACCAGCGGTTCCAACCCATCCTCCTCGGCGCCACCCTCTCCCAGCTTGCCGCCAAGGTCAGGGCCGGCGAGGACCTCGCCGCTTGCGCCCGGTCGCTCGGTCAGGACGTCGTCGATCTCGTTGAGAATGTTCGCTATGCAGCTGGTATGGCTGATGCCGCAGGCTTCATTGAGAAGCTCGAGTTCGGTTACGGAACTCTTGTCGGTACCGGTGGAAAGCTCGTCAGTGGCGGGCAGAGGCAGAGGATTGCCCTCGCCCGCGCCATCATCCGCGACCCCCAGATCCTCATCCTTGACGAGGCCACCGCCGCTCTCGACTCCGTCAGTGAGCGACGAATCCAGGCCGCCGTCGAGTCCATCGCCAAGAACCGTACCCTCATCTCCATTGCCCACCGTCTGTCCACCATCAAAAACGCCGACAACATCATCGTCATGAACCAGGGTAGCATCATCGAGCAGGGTACCCATCTCGAGCTCATGGCCCTGAACGGTTCCTACGCCGGCATGGTCAGGCTCCAGGACATCGCCCAGCAGGACAAGGAGTACGTACCGTCTCAGACGAGCACCACCAATGGAGATGTCGAAGCCCCTACTTCCGAGAAGGGCTCCATCGAGGATGATAAGGCTGTCGCCACGGCAGGCGCCACCGAAGCCGATGCCGAGAAGTCTGGCGAAGACGGCAACCCCGCTACTTCCGACGCTAACAATGACGCCGAGGAGCTTGATTCCCAAATGACCGGGTGGACTGTTGTCCGCCGCTTTGGTCGCATGATCCGCCCAAACATATTGGCGCTCTTCATCGCCATGTTTGCTGCTGTTATCGTCGGTGGTAACTATACCGCCTCTGGTCTCATCTTCGGTCACACCATCGGCGGTTTCAGCCCCTGCAACAGCACCTCCAAGATCTTGAACACCGGTTTGCTCTTTGGCGGCATGTACTTCATGTTGGCCGTCGTCGAGCTCTTTGCCTACACCTTCAGCTGGTCCGGTTTCGGCTACGTCACCGAGAAGCTGCTGTACAAGATCCGCGTTCTCTCCTTCCGTTCCCTGTACCAGCAAGATCTGCACTGGCACCAGACTGGTGGTCGCACGGCTTCGTCTCTTCTGTCCGTCATCACCGCCGATGCAGCCGCTGTCGGGAGCTTCAGCGGTTCCATCGTCGGTACCATCTTCTCCATCTCCGTCAACCTCATTGTGGCCATCGTCCTGTCTCACATCCTGTCATGGAAGATTGCCGTTGTCTGCCTGGTCACGGTCCCAATCCTGCTGGGATCCGGCGCCATGCAGCTTCATGAGTTGGCCAAGTTTGAGAACAAGCACGCCGGCGCCTTCTCCAAGGCCGTTGGCATCACGGTGGAGACTGTCAACTCGTTCAAGACCATCTCCTCCCTGTCTCTCGAGCAGGAAGTCTTTGGCTGCTACAAGCGTACCCTGGCTGCCCCTCGCAAGGAGATGATGCTGGCCATCCTGTACACCGATCTCTGGCTTGCCATCGCCCACGCTGCGGGCCCCCTGATCTACGCCTTTGCGTACTGGTGGGGTTCTACCCGGATCACTAAGGGAGAGGCCACGGAAACAGACTTCTTCGTCATTCTGGTGTCTATGCTTGTCAGCGCCCAACTCTGGGGTCAGGTCTTTACCCTCGCTCCTGAGGTCTCCAGGGCCAGGTCAGCGGCCTCCCGGATTCTCAGTCTCCTTGACAAGGGATCCGTAGCAAATCTATCGGTCAAGGAAAGCCAGCTTCTCGCCGGTGCGTACGGCGAGAAGGATCTCGAGGCCGAGGCCGATGCCTCTTCGAGGTCTGCCTTCCGCGGCGACAGCCGCGGCTCTACGGTCACGTTCAAGAATGTGGCTTTTTCGTACCCTGCTCGCCCCCACATTACCATCCTGCATGACCTGTCATTCACTATCGAGAGCGGACAGTTCTGCGGATTGGTGGGACCCTCTGGTGCTGGAAAGTCGACCATCATGGCCATGGTGCAGAGGATGTACACGCCCACCAGTGGTACCGTCGAAATTGATGGCGTCGACATTTGCGCCAGGGAGGATTCCAGCTTCCGTGATGATATTGCTCTGGTGCCCCAGGACAGTTCCCTGTTTGAGGGTACCATCAAGTTTAACGTTGGGCTCGGTGCCAGAAAGGGTTGTGAAGCTTCTCAAGAGGACATTGAGGCTGCATGCAAGCTTGCCAACATCCACGACACCATCGTGTCCCTTCCCGACAAGTACGACACGGAGTGCGGTCCCAACGGATCACGCCTTTCCGGAGGCCAGCGCCAGAGGCTCGCCATTGCTCGTGCTCTGGTGCGAAAGCCTCGCCTGCTGCTCCTGGACGAGAGCACCAGTGCCCTGGACGCCGAGAGCGAGAAGGCCCTCCAGGAAGGTCTCGAGCGGGCAGCGCAGGGCATCACAGTCATAGCCATCACCCATAGGCTACACACTGTGCGCAAGGCCGACGTCATCTTTGTCGTGGAGGGCGGTCAGGTGGCTGAGAAGGGTCGCCACGACGAGCTGGTGGAGACGAGTGAGCTGTACAGGGTGAATGCCCTGCAACAGATGCTTGACAACTGAACAGAATTCCCCATCGTTACTGCTTGAATTTTTTATATTTTTTTTCTTTCCAAAAAAAAAAAAGTATAGTTTTTCCCGTGTATAAGGCATCATTGATAGAATATAGAAGACCGGTGCTGAAACCGGCAATAATAATAGGAACCATGATGACTCTAATCGGTACAACGTCGTGATGCAATAAATGGGCGGGGACAGTGTATGAAAGAGAGAGAGCCCAAGAGAGAGCCCAGAGAGACGTTCGGTGCCGGTGCGACTTGGGAGGACTGATCGGTGAGTCAAGGAAGGTGCGCCTCCAATTGCCTGCATTGCTCTTGCCGTTGCATGAAATATGCATAACAGGGAAGGAGCAGTGGCATTGGTCGAGAAGATAGCTTGAAGAGAATCGATTATCCGTGGCTATTGTAAAACTACATTACTTCGTTCAGGCACCATCAGACCTACCCGTACGGAGTTAGTATTATTACTCCTTACAATTTCACAGAGCTACAGTGGTTTACGAGCAAACAGTAACAGTTTAGGCCCCTGTTCAGGGTCACATGGCCTGACGTGCTAGGGTGAGTTTGACAGCATTCCAGCGTGGGTCAAATCAGCGGTCACGTCCAGTAACGTGCTACTCTTACTCTTGGTGGTAGGGCATCACTGCGGATGTGGTCACTGCCGCGACGCAATAGCCCGCTTCGCTCTCATTCCTTTGCTCTCGACACCAGGTCGAGATAGGACCTTACGACGACCGATGCCTCAACATTCTCTGGGAACGACACAGTATAATATAGCCCACCTTTCCAGCAAGTCTTGCCGGTTGTGATTCGGACCAGAAACCCAACCCCCCCCCCCAATATCTCCGACCATTACGCCTCCGGTCGGCCTCGGGAATCCCTCCTCCGTTCCGCACCTAGGTCAAGCAACCCGCATTGGCCATCATCGTCGCAGCAGATTGACCGGCAGTGACGAACGAGGAGGGAGTGTGTCTACGCCTGTACCTGTCACAGACCCTCTCCTGTCGCTAAATGGTGACGCCGCATACGAGCTCGGCGATTATAGCGGCATCCAAGAACGGAACGACGCAGCGGAAGCCCGGGAACGCAGAGATAACGAGCGAGCCAAGAAGCGTTGTTGGCTCGAGGAACGGGACGAGATGAAATTCTCACACAGCATTCAGTTCAATGCCGTTCCAGACTGGAGTAGCCACTACCTGGCTTACAGTAACCTCAAGAAGCTGTAAGATGACTTGACCTAGAACCTCGTAATAGCCACATGCCGGGTAGGATCCCAACGGTTGCTGACGTCCAATCTGTGCCTACCAGTATCTACCAGCTCGAAAAGTCGGCCCACCAGAGTCGCGGCGGCGATGGCGAATCACGGCCTCTCATCTCCACCGAAGCACCCGAGGAGGTTTTCAGCAGAGCCCTCGATATCGAACTCGAAAAGATAAGCTCGTTCTACGTCGCCAAGGAAGGAGAGCTTCTCGATGAAGTCAATCAGCTCTTGACCGACATAGAGGAACAGAGGGGTCCGAGTGACTCTACCTATGCGCTGCGTCGAATGTCCTCCGAGGGCCAGTACTCGGCCCATCTCCACGAACGTGCGGCAAGTGCTGACGGCAATGGATCCGACGACGATCTCGAGGACGCAAGCGGCAGTGATGACGAGACTACGGGGCTCACCCAGAAACGCAAGGGCAGTGTTTCCAAGAAGAAGAACATTTCCGATGGCACCCATCTGCAACCATCCCAGGCTGACATGGCTGCTTCTTCGGAGTTTGGCCGGTCGGTGCGTAGGCACAGCACTGCTGCTGATGAGTTGGGCGGAGATTCCATCTTCTCCGGGCTGTACTCATCGGGAATCTTGCTCAAGAGACGCATCATCAGCCTCTACGTCCAACTCTGCGAGCTCAAGTCCTACATCCAACTCAACAGGACTGGTTTTAGGAAAGTTCTCAAAAAATTTGACAAGATAATGGACAAGGCGCTCCTGAACGAGTACATGGCCATGAATGTCGATACAGCGTACCCCTTCACCAAGGATGCGATGCGCGTCGTCCAAGAAAACATTGGGAACATGGAAAGGTCCTATACCGACGTGGTGACGGGTGGGGACCGGGAGCTGGCCAAGAAGGACCTGCGCTCCCACCTTCGTGAGCATGTTGTGTGGGAACGAAACACGGTCTGGCGTGATCTCATCGGCATCGAGCGCAGAGCCGAGGCTGCGAGACTTGGCCAGTCCCTCCTCGGATCGGATGCCAGGTCCGCCCCCAAGAGGCTGCAGGGTGACGAGGCTGAGGATACGAATACTACGAGCATTAAGACGCCCCTTGGACGCCTTTCCATCCCGTCTTTCCTTGTCAGCTCTTCCATGTTCACCCTCGTCTTCTCTGCTGCCGCCTTCTTTGCCCTCCTATTCCTTCCCATCATGGAGAAGCCTGAGCAGCAAAACTGTCTCGCTCTTCTCGTATTCGTCAGCTTGCTTTGGGCAACCGAGGTAAGTCGGGTCCCAATACAAATACCTGAACTAAAGTGGATGATCCGTTGATATTAACTTTGTGAAAAGACGATTCCCCTCTTTGTTACGTCGCTTCTGATCCCCTTCCTCTCCGTCCTCCTCAATGTCGTTCGAGAGGAGGATCCCAGCAAGCCACCAAAGCGCCTCAACTCTAAGGACGCCACTTCGGCCATCTTCGCCGCCATGTGGACTCCTGTCATTATGCTCCTGCTCGGTGGCTTCACACTGGCAGCGGCCTTGTCGAAGTGCAATATAGACAAACGTTTGGCTACGCTCGTCCTCAGCAAGGCAGGCACGCAGCCCAAGACGGTCTTGCTGGCCAACATGTTTGTTGCTGCATTTGCGTCCATGCTGATCAGCAACGTTGCGGCTCCGGTCCTGTGCTACTCCATTATCGAGGTATGTAGAGGAGTGTTGACCAGGTCTAAATATCCCGTCTCTCTAACGATGCTGTTCAGCCCATGCTCCGGACCCTTCCGTCCGACTCCAGCATGTCCAAGGCCGTCATCATAGGCATAGCATTGGCATCCAACGTCGGTGGCATGCTGTCGCCCATTGCGTCGCCCCAGAATGTAGTGGCCATGGGTATCATGCAGCCTGCGCCCACCTGGCTGCAGTGGTTCTTCATTGTCATCCCCGTTGGCTTCGTCTCTATCATCATCATCTGGCTGCTGCTTCTCATGACCTTCCAGCCTGGCCGTGGGACGACCATTGCGCCGGTCCGCCCGATCAAGGAGAGCTTCACTGGCATCCAGTGGTTTGTCACGATTGTGACGCTTGCCACAATCGCCCTGTGGTGTGGCAGTCACCAGCTGGAGAGTATCTTTGGCGATATGGGCGTCATTGCCATCATCCCCATCGTGCTCTTCTTCGGCATCGGCATCCTGACCAAGGAAGACTTCAACAACTTCCCCTGGACCATCATCATTCTGGCGGCCGGTGGCCTGTCCCTCGGAAAGGCAGTGCGGTCCTCCGGCCTCCTGCACACGGTCGCGGAGCTTGTGACGCGCCAGGTCGACGGCATGAGCCTCTATGGCGTTCTTGTGGTGTTCTCGGTCCTGATTCTGGTGATTGCCACCTTTATCAGCCACACTGTTGCGGCCCTCATCTTCCTGCCGCTCGTCTACGATGTCGGTGTGGCTATGGACCAGCCGCATCCCAACCTGTTGGTCATGGGCGGTGTGCTGATGTGCAGCGCAGCCATGGGTCTGCCTACGAGCGGTTTCCCCAACATGAGTAAGTCAGGTCCTGCTATTGATAGGAAACGGCGGAACACGGCTAACGCGATTCAATACAGCTGCTATCATGAAGGAGGATGCTGCCGGGGTGAGATATCTTCAGGTCAAGCACTTTATCAGCAGGGGAGTACCCAGCAGTTTCCTTACCCTGTTGGTTGTCGTGACTCTTGGATACGGAATCATGCAGGTTGCCGGAATAGACTGATCCGTAGTTGGAGGTTACGGAGGCTGCTTCTTCATAGGGAACATATATATCAGTAGTAGTGACTGTAGTCGAGCGTGGATTTGCTTGTATATTTCCTCTACGTCGAGGTATGAACTGTTGATAGTTAGTGATAGAGCATGGATAGAGCGGTCCATAGATATTTGCCGCGGAAAGCAGAGGTGGATTAGAGGATTGTACTACTGTTGGAGAGCTGCATTGTTATGATGCATGTTTATCATAGCAGCAGCATGGGTGTAGTACATTCAAATGAGTGACTTTTTCCTAGCTCTTCTCTCATGTCTTGGTTGTCTTATGAAGCGGATGTGTATAGTAATCCAAGGCCCAGATAAACCAGGATATACCGTGCGTGTACTATGCAACACTGTGCACATGGCCGTCGGGAGCTTAGGCCCAACGTCAACTGACGTCGCAGATCCCGGGAAACAGGACGAACATCCCGCCACCCAAACACCAAACCTACAACACAAACAATTGAGCGCATCTTTCTTGCGCCGACAGGACTCTCGGAAGGGACAAACGCATCTCACTGACTACGGACTCGATTTGACTTGGCATAGCCTCCGACCCCTCATCAGCTGTCGAGCTGGCTAGCTGCCATGCTCTCCGCCTTCACGGCTCGACCGATAATCGAGCTGCGGGACCGGGACAAGTCCAAGATCGAGACTATTGTTGCATACGGTACTCTTTTCATCCCCTGGATCCGGAAGCAGTGGGGTCCCGTCGAACTAACGCAACTTCACAGGTGACCGTGTCCTCGTGGGACTCAACAGTGGCGCGCTCCGCATCTACCGTCTCAACCAGCCGACAATTACAGAGAACGGCAGCACAACAGATCCGGGCGGCAATGATGGGGAGCGGCAGGCGACATCGGCATCGAACTCCGCGGCCAGTAGCACAAAGCCCACAGACCTCTTGCGTGAGGTAGAACGGTTCTCAACGCGATCGATAGACCAGCTGGCCATCATCAAGGAGGCTAACACGATTGTCTCGCTGTCCAACTACCACGTTTCGCTGCACGACCTGCAATCGTACGAGCTCATCGAGACGCTGTCGCGAACCAAGAACGCCTCGTGCTTCGCCGTCACGTCCAATATTGTCAAGGATGCCGACACAGGCATCCCCGAGATCATCAGCCGGCTGGCTGTAGCGGTCAAGAGGCGGCTCCTGCTGTGGAGCTGGCACGAGAGCGAGCTGGATGACGAGGATGTGGCTGAGATAAGCCTTCCGGAGACGATACGGTCGGCGACGTGGGCGAGCGCGACAAAGATATTGTGCGGCATGAATGGGGGCTACGTCATGGTGGATGTGGTCACACACGCCATGGAGGATATCGTGAGCCCCGGTTCTGTGGCTGCCGCCGGAGGTAGCCAGGGAAGTCGGTTTGGCGCCTTTAGCGGTGCTGGGATGGGATACATGGGCCTTGGAGGGTATATGCCCAGACCGCTAGCGACGAAGTTGAAGGACGGAGAGATGCTCCTAGCTAGGGACATCAACACGCTCTTCGTCGATGATGAGGGAAAGGCCCTCGACCGCAAGCAGATCCCCTGGCAGTCTGCCCCGGAATCCGTCGGCTACTCGTATCCTTACATCCTAGCGCTGCTCGCCCCCTCCAAGGGCTCGCTCGAGGTCCGCAACCCCAACTCTCTGTCTCTGCTGCAGAACATCTCCCTCCCCGGAGCGTCGCAGATCCATTTACCCCCTCCGACTGTCAGCTTGGCCCACGCCGGCAAGGGCTTTCACATCTCCAGCGACAGGTGTGTCTGGAAGATGGGTGCCACCGACTACGACTCCCAGATCGACGAGCTGATAGGCAGCGAACATTACGACGAGGCCATTAGCATCCTGGGAATGCTCGAGGATGCCCTGCTGCGCAACAAGACCGAGACGCTACGTGAGGTCAAGATGCGTAAAGCTGAGGTGCTCTTTTCCAAGAAGGACTTCAGGCGATCCATGGACCTGTTCAATGAGGACGACGTGCATGCTCCTCCTGAGAGGGTGTTAAAACATTTCCCCCGGCGCATAGCTGGAGATCTGTCGGTGTGGCCCGAGGAGGAGCCAGAAAGGGAAGAGGTGGGCGAAGATGAGGGGAGCGGCGAGGAGGGTAATAAGGCGGAAGAGGCAGAAGGGCAGGAGGAGAACAAGGAAGCAACAAAGGCAGACGCTACGGAGAAGAACACCAACGGCAACAGCAACAGCACCGGTACCAGGTCTAACAGTCCCGAAACACCTCCTGCGGCACCCTCGTCACCAGGACCTGGCGGTGCTCTGGCCAAATTCTTCGGCGGAAAGAGGACCCTGTCGGATACGCAATCCATCGCGTCGTCCAAGAGGAATAGCTTGGAACATGACGAAGCAGAGCGTGTCAAGGCGGAGTTGGCGGCCGCGAAGCCCAGGCCCCTGGATGGCAAAGACCTGACTAGCGCTGTCATCGAGCTCATCAGCTACCTCGCCGGCACGCGTGCTCGCCTTCAGCGCGTTATCGACCCCGTGACGGGCAAGCTGAAGCGCAGCAGCAACTTCGATCAGAAGAAGGCAAACGGAACGGGACTATCCCGAGACGACGAGGATGCGGAGAAGCTGCTCCGGCTAACGCCAACCGACTCGGAGAAGCAGCAGGAGCAAGAGCTTGTGTCCACATTCCGGCTGGTGGACACGACGCTGTTCCGGGCGTACATGCTGTCTCGCCCTACGCTGGCAGGCCCGCTCTTCCGCATCCCCAACTTCTGCGACCCGGACGTGGTCAACGAGCTGCTCCTGGAGAAAAAGAGCTTCACAGAGCTTGTCGACTTCTTCTACGGAAAGAAGCTGCACAAAGAGGCCCTCGAGCTTCTCCGCCGCTTCGGCACGTCGGCGCACCCTGACCCGGCGGCGCCTGCACTTCACGGGCCCGACCGGGCAATCCGGTACCTGCAGAGCCTGCCGCCTTCAGAAATCGACCTGACGCTCGAGCACGCCGCTTGGACGCTGAAGGCGAACCCGGACTACGCCATGGAGATCTTTGTCGGGGACACGGAGAATGCGGAGAACCTGCCACGGGATAAGGTTGTGGCTTTTCTGAGAAAGCAGGATACTGATCTCGAGATGGTCTACCTCGCGCATATCATCGATGAATTAGGTGATCTAACGCCCGAGTTCCACAATCGACTCGTCGAGCTGTCGGTCCAGAGGATACGTGGGATGGACAGAGACGGTGACGAGGGCAAGTGGGATGACGAGATGGACAAGTTTCTGGCGTTTCTTCGCCAGTCTTCGCAGTACAGTCTCAGCAAGGCCTTTGGACTTATCCCGAGAGATGGTAAGGATGGTTCTCGACAGGTGATGATACTTGGCAATAACGGAGGCTAACATGTTCAAAAAAAAAGACGCCGGCTTTTACGAGGCTCAAGCCATTGTGCTCAGTAACATGGGGCAGCACAAGCAGGCGCTTGAGATCTACGCCTTTAAGATGAAGGATTATTCCAAGGCGGAAGAGTATGTTTTTCTTTATTCTCATTCTGTATACCTGAGAGGATAGATGGGAGGAAGTTGACCAACATGCGCGCAGATACTGCAACCGTGTCAGTCTCTTGACCGATGAAGAGGCATCGAAGACTGAGAGCGGGGCTGGCAGAGACAACGACGGAGGGGCAGGCGAAACCCCGACCATCTACCACACCCTCCTATCGCTGTATCTGCAGCCTCCGCGGCCACACGAGAAGGAGCCCAAGCTCGGACCTGCTCTGGACCTCCTCTCGCGGCACGGCTCCCGCCTGCCGGAGAACTCGACCTTGGGCCTCATCCCAGATGACCTCCCCGTCGGAGCTCTAGAGTCATACTTCCGCGGTCGCATCCGCTCCGTCAACAGCCTTGTCAATGAGTCGCGCATCGCGGCGGCCATGCGCAAGTCGGAGAGCATATCGGTGGCGGCGAGGCTGCACCTAGGCGACGACAAGGGTTGGGGCCAGAATCCGAGCCAAGGCGGACGCAGCAGACACGTCACCATCACAGATGAGAGGCACTGCGTCGTCTGCCACAAGAAGCTGGGTGGGGGGATGCGCCTGGGCGGAGGAGCGGGTAGCGTCGTGGCCGTGCTGGCCGACAACACCGTCGTTCATTATGGCTGTCTGGGTAGGGCAACGGGGCAGAGAGGCGAGAATGCTGCGGCCAGAGTGCCCAGTTGGGGAAGAGGGTTCTAGCCCCATTCCTCTCTCCTTGTTTTGACTCTTTCTTCTGAAGTCTCCTCCTTTGTGATTTTTTTTTTTTTTCAATTGGCCAGCATCGTTTCTTCATTATCGGGTCGCACATATAATACCCCTCACTCGATAGCATTTCCATATGAGTGACTGCTCAGTCATCCTCTTGCACCTCCTCTCCGTAATTCTCCTCCTCTTTCGCATCGTCGACGGGTTTCCCGCTGTTCCCCTGTGCCGCCTTGTCTTGTTCCATGCGCTTTGTGAGCTCCTTGTTGATCTGGTCCTGTGTCGTGACGATTGCCCTGCGTAGAGAGTCGAGGTATTGCGTCTTATCGGGGACAGAGGTGGAAGGAGGGGCGGGGATGGAGTGTCTGATGGCGAAGGGTTCGCTCGAGGGATCGCTGTAGGTTGCTGAGAGATCCATTCTTGCTGTTTCCTTCCGGATGATTTCTTGTCTAGGAGTCGGTAGTTGAGTAGCAGTAGTGTGAGTGCGAAAGGAGTAGTAGGTTGATGAAGTTCCCCTCCCCCCCTTGAGTGTACTTGTGTGGTAGTATAAATCATACTACAGGTTAACAGGGAAAAGTCTTGGTGGGCGGGGTTGAAGAGCTCTGTGCGTCAGAACTAACCTACACACTGCTGTATGGCGCAGGGTGGTGGCATATCACACACACACAGACCCCCCCCCCCCCCCCCCCCTCCCCATTTCTCTCCATCCCATCATATCCAGGACAACACAACCACATATACAGCTTACCCGAGTAAATCAATCGGAGCGATCATATACAGGGGGCGCAATATCTCAAAATGTGACGCATGTTGCGTCCTACTCTCCATCAGCAGAAATGTCACGACAGCAGTCCCGAGCCCCAGGTAGCTTTTCGCCGCTTCCGGGGGGCACATCGTCATTGTCAACGAGCAGTGCCGCTGCGGCTGCAGCCGCAGCGCAGTCTCCTCATCCTCTTCCTCCCCCCGCCACCGGCAGCGGCTCTACTGCTGCCCCTCGCCCCTCGATAGACCTGTCCGACGGCGAGGATGTCTATGGTTATCAGCAAGACAGGATCGTGCTCGGACGGACACGTCCATCTATCGACTCGCCGTCGGCGCCCATGTACGCGCAGCTTGCTACCACGAACAACGGCAGCAACCCGACCACGTTGAACCAACACCACTATAACCTCCCGCGACCAGCCAAGCCATCTGGTGGCGCCACGACAGCGTCGTCGTCACCCCTGATGCGCTCGCACGCGAGGAAGCACTCGTCTGCCACGCCGGGCCTGTTTGAGCCCACGCTGCCGTCGGCCAGCACATCCAACCTGTCTCATATCGGCATGAGCCAGCAGCAGCAGCAGCAGCAGCAGGCTGGCGGGGGCGCTGGCGGCGCCGCGTTGTCGGCCAGTCAGATTGCCGCTCAGGCGGCTGTCATGTCGCACCAGCAACACACGCGACACCGGTCGCAGACGGTGCCATTCCCCGGAGACTCCAACGACGGCGCCAGGCGTGGTAGCGGGAGCAAAGGCCCCGTCAGCCCGCCCGTCCTCAGCCTCACCGAGGCCAGCGCCCCGTCGCGCGAGAGCTCTGCCTTTAGCGGGCTGGGAATCGCCCCCTCGGCCTCGTCGTCGCGCGTCGACCTCCCCTACGCCTCATCTGCCGCCACGGCTGCCGCCAACGTCGTCTTCCCCCGCTCCGGGCATAGCTCGCCCAGCCAGGCCAACTCGACGCTGCCACAGCAGTTTCAACTGCCGTCCACGGGCCCGGGTAGCTCCCACATACAGCAGCAGCTACAACAGGCTGCCGCCACTTCCATGCCGCCACCGCCGCCTCCCCCTCCGCCTCCCCCGCCTCCCCCGCCGGAGAAGCAGAGCAAGTCGGAGAAGGCCCGGGCCAAGCTCTTCTCGCGACCGAGCAGGATCACAACCAAAGCAGACGTCAGGGAGAAGCCACTTCCCAGCCCGGGGAAAATTGGGTCGGCCCTGTCGGCGCTGCAGCGCGGCAACTTCAGCTCTACCAACCTGGCGGATCAGGGGGGGCAGGGCATGTACATGCACCAGAACTCGTCGGCGGCAACGATCCGGCCCATCGACACGCCCGCAACGGAGGATAAGGGGAAGGAGAAGGAAAAGAGGCATCACTTCCTATCGCGGCAGAAGCACAAGCTCAAGGATGAGTTTCACCTGCCGCTCTCGTCGGCAGCGAGCAACTCGCTGCCCACGGACCCGAGCGCGCCCAACAGCCTGTACAACTTCAACATTCCGGCCAGTCCCGGCCCCGGGTCGAGCGGGTTCGTCAAGGCCAAAAAGGACAGGAAGCATGCGGAGCGATCAGAGAGCCGCCTAGGCGTGAGCGAAGAGTCGTCTACGCTGGGAACGGGCGGTCAGAGTGAGTGGCCCGGGCCGAGCAGCCTGCCGAGCCTGTCGCAGCAGTCGACCATGATGCTGGACCCCGTCGACCCGGGCAAGCTGGGCCTGCACAACCACATGACGGTGGACGATGCGTGGCCGTACCTCAAGGCCAAGCTGCTCGTCATCTTCGAGGGCGAGGACCTTCGCCTGCCGGTAGAGGATTTCAACCGCGTGGTCCAGATGCACATCCAGTACTGCATCCAGCGGCGGTCGCCCAACACGATGCTCGAGGATTTGCGTGACTTCCTGACGGTGGGATTCTCCTCGCTCGACCGCACGCTGCGCAGGACACCCGAGGACCGTTTCATCCCCGCCCTCGTGGAGCTGTGGCTCTTCACATTCACGTCCATCCTGCCCTACATGCAGGCCGTCTTCCTGCCCGTGGATATGGAAGTCGCCGGTTGCGGGACGATAATGACACCCGAGCAGTCGCGCGACTTCTGGGGAGGCGTCGTGGTGCCGGCCAGCACTCCCACCAGACGTCCGTCCATCCCCGTGGCAGATGACCAGCATCAGCAGCCGCACGTCACGCCAGCCGCCACAGTCCTCGACGTGCGTCGCCTGGTCCTCACGGCTTACCGGGACATCATCATCCTACCGCGCTACGACACTCTACGCACCATCTTCTCGCGTCTGTCCCTCGAATTCCTACCCTCCTCCTTCTCCAGCAGCAGCAACAACAACAACAACAACAGATCGTCATCTCCTGATGCTGCCGCATTCTCCACTTCCCCTCCCGAATCACTATCATCGATGATCCGTCCCGGCACGGCAATGTCCCTCGACCCGTCCGTGGCATCCTACAACTCCACCAGCACCACACTACTAGGCGAATTGGCCGGTGTGGGTGGAGGAGGAGGAGGAGGAGGAGGGGGTTCGACGGGATCCGCCACGGGCGGGAGCCGCAGCCGCGCCATCTCCAACGTCTCCTTCGGGAGCCACGCCAGCGACGGCGCAGGCGGTCACGTACGCCCCTTCACGCCCTCGAGCGCCCTGGGCAGCGTGCGTGAGCAGAACGTCCAGGACTCCAAGCAGGTGACTGACATGGTAGGCCGGATGCTGCAGTGCGTCAGCGTCCTGGCCAGCCTGAGCGATGTCGGCGACGACGACGAAGGGAACAGGAAGATGGTCGAGCTGTGCAAGATGCTCAAGCTGAATTGGCTTGGGAGAGGGAGGACGGGGAGGAACAGGATGGGTATTGTCGGGGGCAAGGTTCGTAGGGGAGGAGGGGAGGAGCTGAGAGTTGCTTGATTTCCTCTTTCTCCTTTTTTTTTTTTCCCTTCAAGTTTTCTTCGTTTGCTTTTGCTCTCGTCTTTCTTTCCCACGCCTCGGGTTGCTTTGCTTGGCTGGTTATGTAGCCAATATGTATTACTCGAGTTTTCATATTGCTAGGCGTTGGGGATTTGGGGTCAGTCAATTCATATTTTCCAAGTTCGTCTGCAGCTAAGTAGGTAACAGCCAACGTGATAACACCAGGAGTATCTACCTGGTAGTATGCGGAGAACGGTATATCCTTCAGTCGACACCGATATTACGCAGAGTACAGATTACAGTATTATATTACTCGTGTATTAATCGCATGCAACAAAGGCCAACCAGTTTCGAAAGAGACATCACCGTAGTAAGTGTTCATGAAACAATAGGTAGCATTATCAAATGTTTAGAAGCTCATGCTATATATAGTGTAATGTGAAGAATCCTAGACTTGGCCATGTTAGCAATTGCATTGATGTTTCTTTCAACAGAATCAAGCAAATAGAGGGGGGAAAAAAGAACAAAGTGTGCGATCAGACATCCAAGGAAGAATTTACTCTCACTTATCCCAACATAGGCTCGTAGGGACTCGAGTGGAAACTGCGAATAGTGATGGAAATTTCATCATGAAGACACATTGTTACAGAAAGATAAAATGGAAAAAAAGTTGATGCTTACCATGTGTATGCGTTGACCGTGCCACGCTGACAGGTTAGTTGGGGGCATATAAAGTATAGTAGCAATAAGAGAAATCTGGGTGCCATTGTCTGTTAGTCATGTTTCTCCGACAAGAAAAAATGATTCGGTGTCCACTGAGAAAGTGATCGTATGTGCTATGAATCAGACAAATTATACTGGCAAGTAACAGGTGCGTTGCAGCGCACCCGAGTATCTCTTCATGGTCGATTCGAGACGAGAAAGAAGAAAAGGTGTTTGTCATCATGTAGAGGGTTTGTGATCTGTAGAGGACGAGGGAACGGGGTAGAAGAAACTTACCATCAGTAAGAAGGGGAGAGAAAGGCACAGAGAGAAGGTGAGGGTGAGGAGGAAGTTCGTCCTCTTGATCATTGCACGTTCCCTCTTACCTTCCTTCCCAATTAACCGACTGCCTTCTCCCCCAGAGCCTCAAAGGCCGAGTAGCAGATAATCATTGTATATGCAGACTCGCGACTCGCCACGTCTCTTGTTGCAGCAGAGAACGACGGTGACATCATATCCCGTTACCGGTCGAAGGACTTCGAAGCCGTCATCGTCGAGGTTGACGATGATTCTCGCTTCGGGGGCTTGGGGAAGAAGGAGGTGGTTATTTGTTGACTTTTATGATATAGAGAAGGGAGGAAGTTTTTATATCCCAGGCTGTTGGAGAATTTGAGGTCATGGAGGGACAGTGCATGCAAAAATTTTCCGACGTTCTGCGCACCGTGTGGATTTTATCACGTGATAGAACCAGGAGCGTAGCGTATGTTAGTCATCACTGCTGTCCACAATGATGGAACCAAAGGCACAGCATTAGCGGCAGGAGGCGCAGGGTTGCAGTCAGCCACAACCAGGAGATGCAGCAGGCAGGAGGCAGGCTTTCAATGCCGGGACAGGAAAGACGGGAGAGAAGCACAGAGGAGGATACATGTGCAAAAAGGGAAACGACAAAAAGAAAGGAAGAGGCAGGTCCGTTTCAGCCTCTGCTCTCCTGCAAGGGACAGTGCTGATGCCCTGTTGCTATTAGACGTAATCGTGCAAGAGACTTTTGATGACTCTGGGTCGTTGATATCCCTGACTAATAATGGCAGTGGTAGCTAATCAGACCGGGGAATGACACCGGCGCCACCCATCTGCGTATTAATCCTCTTAACTATCTGCTGTCCCGGGCCGTATCACAGCGTAGAGGAATAACGTCCCACTGCCATGTAAGTGGCGCTCAGTGATCCTCGGCGGTGCCCTTAGTGGTGCGTAGCGGTGCATTTAGTACGCCTGGTACTAGCATAATGCATAGAGTGCGTTCTGATAGAGCGATATTGTGACGTTACCCAGCCACCAGTATTAAATAGCCTGACACAAAGACGGCGGCAGGGTGTAGGCGTAATGAAAGCTATTCGGTGCACCGCTTATTTCCGACACATTGGAGACGCATCGCACTGGCTAATTTCCCTTGTGGGCGAGGGGTGTAATTGCATAAGGAGGATCAATGTACCCCGCTCACATGCATGGATATTCTTATGGACGATGGATCATCATTTTTTTCTCTCTGCCTTTATCTCTTTGTGCAAGGCAAAAGCGCCACCGGACGCACTTGGACACCCCAGTCCAATCCAGTCCCAATCCTAGGTTCCCAGTCCTAGGTCTGTCCCAGCAGTCTCTCAGTCCAAATCCGCTTGGGCTGCTACTGCCAGTGCCTCTCAGCAAGCAGCAAGTCGAGTCCACACCCACTCCCCCCATCCAACGCACCACTGGTCGATCCCCAAACTCGTCCTCTGATCTGTCTTCCTGTCCTCTCTCTTTCCAAAGGGCAGTTCTTCCCCGGGGTTTGGTGTTACCAGACTGTAATATCCCGCGCTGTCTTTGACTCCTTCCTCCCCCCCCCCCCCGTTTACGAGGAAACGACAACGGGCCACCACCATCACGACATCGCCCACGCAGACTATCTCAAACGCCTCGTTGCGGCTCTTGGCACTCCTTCTTTCTCCTCCCACACGACGACGACCATCAGGTGACCATAAGCACGACGATCCTACTACCAACGCCCGACCTTCTCTTTGTCTCCCGACACACCGGATAAGCGTTGTCACGCTTCGACTCACGCGCTTTTGTTTGCTTCCGTCGTATCCTTCAGTCATCTGGGGATTCCCGAACTTTCGCCCTACACTCGCTCTCCCTAGAAGCAAAACACAACAGACTGTGACGCGTTTTGCTGGCGCCCGATATTCCCATCAACCGTTCGCGCGCATCACCACCCTCGTCACTTTTTTATGTGTTTACGACCCGACCTCTCCGTCCCCAACGATCCGTATACGTCGGGTCGCACAAGACGCGTCTTGCACATACATCCTCTCTCTCTCTCTCCTCTCCCACTCCGGAATTAGTTGATCGCATTCCGCGCTGTACATCCGTGGAAGCCTCGCCGCCGCCGTGCTCCCTCACTGCCGTCTGAACCCCATAGAGCGCATGCACTAGTGTTGTTCGCACACGTCGACGTCCACACGGTGGATAGCCGACCGCATATCTGGCAATGATGGCTACGAGTATGGGCCCTAACTTCACCGGAGGTCACCCAGCAGGCATGGGGCATCCGGGCGTCCCTGGACACGTCATGGGCCCCGGAATGCCTCACAACCCAGGCCAGCAGGGCGCTCCCGCCGGCGCCGTGCCACCTCAGTTTGGTGCTGGCCCCATGGCCGTCTCGGCTCCAGGAGGACAGATCCACCCTTCCATGATGAGCATGCCCCCCGGCGCCGGTCCCCACGGCCCCGCCGCCCTGCAGCACATGACTCCCCAGCAGCAGCAGCAGTTTCTGCAACAGCAGCAATTTCAGAACCAATGTACGTGTTCCTCTTCACATCAAAACTCATGGCAGCTAGACAATGTCTCCTGTCCTTCTCCTTGTCAGCATGATGCGCTGACATATGCCACCGATAGTCCACAACAACCCAAACGCCATGGTTGCCATGAGGCAGCAGCAGCAGCTCTTCCAGCACCAGCAGCATGCTAGGCAGATGATGGCAGCCCAGCAGGCCTACGGTGCCAACTTCCCAGGCGGTAATATGCAAATGGGTATGCCGATGAACGCGCAGATTCATCAGCTTCGTCAGACAGGCAGAATCCCTCCGGTAAGTCAAGCAGGGCATCATGACGAGTAAAATCGTCTGGACGTCGTCATGTCCGTATCTAGCTTTGCTAACTACGTCGAAAGCAACTGGCTGCTCAGCAATACGCTCTCCACCAACAGCAGCAGCAGGCCCAGCAGGCCCAGCAGGCCCAACAGCAGGCCCAGCAGGCTCAGCAGGGTCAACAGCAGGGTCCCCCACAAGGTCCGCATCCTCAGCAGCAACCCGGACCCAACGGTGGACAGGCCGTACCCATGACGGCGCAGAACCTCCAGAGCATGCAGAGCATGGCCGCCCAGCAGGGCCAGATCGCCGGGCAGCACGCACAGCAGCCTCCTCAGGGCCAGACGCCCCAGGTGCACACCCCGTCACAGCAGCAGCCTCAGCCTCCCCCGCCCGGTCAGCAGCAACCACACCACACCCCGCAGCAGCAGACGTCACAAGCCGGCACCCCCGGTCCCGGACAACAGACCCCCTCTCAGACGCCCAACTCGACTCCCGTGCAGCTGGGCCCCGGACAGCAGCAGGGACAGCCGCCGCAGGCTCAGCAGCCTCAGCAGCCTCCCCAGCCTCAGGGCCCACAAGGCCAGCCTCACCTCGGGCAGCAGGGCCAGCCCCAAGGTCAACCGCCTCAGGGAGCGGGTGTGCCACAGCCGGGACAGGTGCAAGGTGGGATGCAGGTTCACGGTCCGCCGCAGCAAGGTCAGCACCTGGCGCACCCGCAGATGACAGCTGCTGCGCAGCAGCTGGCATTCCAGAACACCATAATGGCGCAGCAGCGTCAAAGACAGGCCGAGAGCTTGAGGGGGCAGTATATCCTCAAGCTGGTGCAATTTGGTGAGCAGCTGAGCAGCTTCCCAGGCACCAAGACCAAAGACGACCTGACCTACTGGAACGCCTTTGTCGAGCGCTTCTTCGCCCCCGAAGGCATCTTCCGACACTCGCTGCACGTCACCGACGCCAGCGAACCCGCAGCTAAGCAGTACGAAATCGCCTACCCGGCGATTGCGAGGTACTTTCACACGCACTTTGGCAGTGGGGTGCGGCACATGCAGCTCGTCCTAGATCGGACGACCATCGACCGACCGATGCCCCAGGACGGCCACTTCATCGAGAACCCCAAGGCCAGCCTAGTGTACTGGTTCGAAACGGGGTCGCACCTCGTAGCGCAGGGCACGCTGCGAGCGTACTTCAACGCACAGCAGAAGCTAGAATTACTCGAGTTTGTCACGACGAGCCACGAGGAATACGTTTCGCGCAAGCAAGTGATTGAGGCGGCAAAACCGGCGCACAACTGGATCAAGGATTGGCGCAACGTCAACAATAGCGACTCGAAGCAGTCACCGGAACTGTCCAAGAAGGGCAAAGGGAAGCAGCTCAAGTCGCCGCAGACACACCCGCCCGAGGTGCTGGTGGACCTTCCCGACACAGCGGTCAACAGCAAAGGTGTGACGGCCGCAGTACATCAGTTTCTAGAGGTACGTTTCCCAGCCGTGAACCCGTCATCTGCACCGCAACACCCCAAACACGCAAAGATTCCGAACCCGATGCTGATATTCCCCTGACTGTACAGATTGTCGAGGTGATGGGCCAGATGAACCCGCTCTTCGGCTTCTACCATGCCACACCAGGTCTAGGACCCTACGCCGCGCTAGAGCAATATGTGGCCACGAACATCAACGGAGCACCGGGAGCAGGAGCGGGGCCAGGAGCACCGGGCGGCATGAACGGGCAACCAGGGCAGGTGCCGGGACAGGTTCCGCGGACGCCGTCCTTCAGCCAGTTCCCGATGGGAGCGTCGCCGGCGCCAGGACACATGAACCTCCCCGGGTCGCCGCACGTGGTCGGAGGCAGCCCCATCCCAGTTGGGCAGATGCACCAGGCACCAGCGATGCAGATGCAGCAGTCGCAGCAGGGCACCAACACCAGCTCCGGCGGACCCAGCGCCAACACGTCGCCCATGTCCAACAAGCGCAGGAGGCCGTCTGGCGTCAAGACGGAGGACGACAGCGGCCCCACCGGACCTGGAGGCGCCTCCACCCCACAGATGAATGGCCTGCAGGGCGTTCCCAGACCCGGAAAGCCATCTACACCACGCATGAATAAGCGTGCAAAGACGAATCAGTCATAATCTGTCTATTTTTTTTTGGACTCTTTCTCTCTCACTGATTCCGAACCCCCCCTCCCCTCTGCTAGTGTTTACACAACTATCCATGTTAGCATGTTCTATCCTGTCTTTCTTGGCGTGGTAAGGCGTATTTATTTTTTCGGCGTGTGTTATAGTGGACTACCATCGGGTCTGCTACACACATCACCATTTTTTTCTGTTATAATTCATCTTGGTCTTGTTCCCCTTTTTGCATTGTACGGATTTTTTCTTCTTTTCTTCCTTTCGATCGGTTCATCAAATATATTTCCCCCCAAGTTTGACGCATTGAAAGAGAAAGAAAGGTTATTGGATATTCCACCTCCCCCCCCCCCCCCCCCAAAAAAAAAAAAAAAGGTAGAGAAAAAGAAACAAACCCACACACACACACGTCTTTCAAACTCTTTCAGTATGCCCCTGACTGTTTCTTTTTTTTGTCAGTTCTCTCTTGGATTTCACTCCATTGTCTTGTTGGATTCTGGTTTTTCATTGTTTCTTTTGGATTCCATCTCATTGTTCTCAATCTATTTCTTGTGGAGAAAACTCTCATCTTTGGAGAGAATGGAGTTATCGTCCTTTTTTTGTTCTATCTTGCGTTGGTTCTCTAAAAGAAGAAATCTTCTGTACGATGTGTTTGTTGATTGGTCGTGGTGCGAATACAAAGGGGTACTGGTTTCCAGCTTTTTCCTCTTCCTTCTTTCTTTTAATATTATAAAGAAAAACATGTCGAGTCTTGGTCCTTGCTTCACTGTTGCCTTACTTGGACATGCTACTGTCTGGATCCGGTGTCACGAATGTACGTGTGCAACACTGGCAGTGAGTAAATGCGATGTAGTAATAGTAGCGAGCATGTACATGAAAAGGCGGTTGATTGTACATATGACAAGAACCGGACGGACCCATACCGTCTATTATAATGTATATCGATAAGATAAAAGCAAACCCATTCAGCCCGCTATCTTTCTTTTTGGAACAAAAAAAAAAGTCCTTTTTGTTTTCTTCCCCTTCTTATTGAAACCCGGGACCCATGCAGAAGAAGATGTGATAAAAGCCAGGAATAGAATAAAACACGTCATCCGCTGCCACCAGATACCGCCTCACTCGCATCTACATCCCCTCTGGGTTGGGATTCTCGTGCTTGGCCGTGCTTCCCTTGGCACGCCAGGTGCTGACGGCGGGGATATTGGCCTCCCACCTCTCCTCAACGGTGCCGTAGGCCCTGGGCGTCAGCTTGATGAGGGTATGCAGTGGCACGTTCATCCAGGGGCTCGCCGATTGGTCCTTCTTCATGAAGTAGGCGTAGATGCAGCGCAGGACAGCCTGGTGTGTGACGATGAGAATGTCCTCGCTGCGCTCGAGCTCCATGATGATGGGTTCGAGGCGGATGACGACATCACGGTACGACTCTCCTCCCCGGTACCGGTAGTTGTACTTGTCGTCGTCACGGGCGGCAAAGTCGTCGGGGTAGCGGTCCTTGATCTCCTGGTACGTCAGACCGTCGCATACACCCGAGTCCAGCTCGTCCAGAGCCTTCCACTGCAGTTGGTTGTAGTTTGGTGGCAGGAAGCGGGCAGTAGCAATAGTTCGTTTCAATGTCGATGTCCAGACGGTGAGAGGGCGGTCACCCTGAAAGTTGTCAGCGGTGTCCAACCATGGGTAGGAGGGATTCGAATTTGTGGGTTTGGGGGGTTGGTTAAGGAGAGAGTCAGGGGGAGAGAAGAAATGATGCCGAGGAGCAGGAGAGAACGGGAGGATGTGGGTACAAGACTTACGCCTACTGATTGCTTCACAAGCTCGGGAAGCTTCTTAGCATAGGCCTCGCCGCGAGGGGAGAGGAGCGTATCACCGCCTATTCTTCCGTCGAGGTTGTAGAGCGACTCCCCGTGCTGTGCCGGTAGTTAGCCTTGTGTGTTCCTGTACTTCTTCTTGACTCTGAGGGAGAAGGAAAATGAGGATAGATGTCAAGGGACAGAGATAGAAGAGAAGGCAGGCATACTCTTGATAGCCAGATGGAGCGGGGACGGATGTGGAGATTCATGAGATAGTAGACGACTCGGCTCTGTAAGTAGTCTTGGATTCGGTTGATAATGACTTGTTTGCTAGCGTCCATGAGCTTAAGGTATGTGTAGTCATCCTCGTCTCCGTCATCATCGATTGACTTGTACGACTTCTCATACATCTTGATACGGTTGCGGAAATCCAGGGCGGCCTGTTCGGGGTCCTGGCCGCGGTAGTCGGGGCTGGTAGTCTTGACGTCGCGGATATTGGCCATGATAAGATCCTCGTCGTCGCACTTGCTCTCGACAAAGAGGACCTCGATTCCGTGGCCGACACAGGTGTTGGCGACCCATTTGCGGCGCTCCTTTGTCGAATTTGTGGCGTCTAGGATGCCGACGACACCGCCGGTGCGGAACCAGGCAAGCATGTCGGAGACGGCAGCCTCGGCAGCGGCGCGACGCATGCGCTCCCCCTCGACATTGGCGCCGTCAAAGAAGTCTGCGGTGGGCTGGGGAGCGTCGTTGCGCCTGTAGTTACCGACGTTGAAGACCTTGGAGGGGATGGTGAGCCATTGCAGATAGCGCTGGGCCTTTTGTGCGATGAAGCTCTTGCCCCGTGCGGGCAGGCCAACCATGACGACACATATCTTGGTGTCCTCGACCTGGACGCCGAGTCCGTTAGTGGTAGGCGACATTGGTAGTGTGTGTGTGTGTGTGTGTGTGTTCTGCGGCTCAACAGAGCAGAATATGGTAACAGCAAAGCACAAGCAGGGACATGTGCCTAGGGTCCAAGTGCGTTTCCTCGAGATTCCCTTGATAGAGCAAGAAGAGTCAAATGCCAATGGTATGAGAAGGATTGAAGCAAGGCAGTGGTAAGGTGATAGAAGAAGGGTGAGCAAGGTGATGATGATGGATGGGAGGGGGTTGGTGGTCTAGGAAGCTAACGGCGGTCGCTCCCGAGCTACACAAGATGGGTCAAAGAGGTCGCGTGACATGGAAAGGCCAAGGTAGGCAGACAAAGCGACGACGACGACGACGACGACGACGACGACGACAGTGATGAGGACTTTTCGGGGGGGGAGGGGGGCGAAGAGGTGGGAGACTGTAAAGGGCCACGTTTTCAAGACGATGGAGAAGGAATATGGGGAAAATGAGGAGAAAAGGCGGAGGAGAATTCGGGGTGGCGTGAATAGCTGTGGGAGAGCATGAGACAAAAAAAGAGGACTGTGGCCGGGGGAGACGATTGACGATGATGAGACGGGGTAGATGCAGCAGAGCCAAGGGGACAAGTGCGGATGTGGTAGAGTGGCGACGGCAACGGGGATGTAGCATGTGTATGTGTGGCCTGATTCTGATCCTTTCTCTGCTCGCTCTCCACGATTCTGTCGTCGATGATGGGTAGGGATGATGTAATTGGGGGAGGAAGCCGGATAGAAGGAAGGAGAGAAGAAGGCGATAAAATGAAAGGCGCGATTGAGGGAAAGTGCCAAGCTGGTGTGCTCCTTCCGTATTGCAATTGCAATTGTCCACCCACGCAAAAAGTGTTTGGGACAGTTTGCTGGACTGCACAAATCGGGAAGGATAGTCGCACCCAGAAGAAGATCACACACCAAAGGAGAAGAAAAGAGAGAGAAAAAGAAAATAGATAAATAAAGGAAACCGTCCACGGAGGGGAGGAGGGAAGAACGGGGAAGGGGACGTCCTAGCTCTGCTTGCTTTGCTCTGCAGCCTCTGCTCTGTGTTTGAATGACACATTCCGTCCGCCCGCACCCTTCCCAGTCCGAAGCTCTCGTTTGCCGAATAGGAAAAGCAGGTGGAGACGGCGCAACGCGGGCTACCCGTGGCCGCCTTACCTGTGCCGATTCACCCCTCAACCCCGCCGGGGAAGGTCACTCTTTTTTTTTTTTTCTTGCTCGTCCCGATTCCCCCCGTTTGGAGAAGAGCCAAGGCTTTCCCGTAAGGGAATCGATAGATGAGGCAACAAGTTCAATTCTTCCCCCTCCCCAAGGTTCAGGGGCAAACGAGGAAAATAGGAAATATCCCCGGGTCTATCCGACATGTCGCTTGAGAGCCGCGTGACCACACCGCTCAGGAGGATGCAGAGAAGAAAAGAGGAATTCAAGAGGAATTTTTGGGGGAAAATCAAATCAGAGAATAAAGAAACCAGAGGGAAGACCTACCTTGCTGAAATTATATGTACCGTCACGAGATCCTCTTCTAGGTGTTGGTGGTCCTGCAGCTACTCCAGCAGCCATATTGTAACTCTGAGATCCGAGGCAGCGGGGTAAGATAGCAGTCCTAAAGATCGTTGCACCGGAAGAGTCTCCGATTAGAATGCCAAGAAAGAGAGGAAGGAGGATCACAGCTAGTTACTACTACTAGTATTATAGAATAGCAGCAGTGATGAGTGAGACGTTGGCTGTCGCAAGTACGGGTACAAAAGCAGAAAGAGGAAAGAAAGGAACAGAGAAGAGAGAGACAGAGACAGAGAAAAGCTTTAGCTCTCCCCCCCTGGCAGATTCGGAATACCGAGAATTCAAAAAGCTGGCAGTGCCGCAGTGGAGAAAAAGCACGACGACGTAAGTGGACGATAAGGTTAAGCGGTCAAAGTCGCGAGCAGCACGATGGACCACCCGTACAATCACTTGTACAGAAAAGACACGATGGGGACCCAGGACGAGCACTGGTATATCAATACAATGTACGGTGTAATAAATAGTGAATCGTCGACCAAGGACATAGCATAGAGCAATGCACGCTCATCCTCGTCCTTGCGTCTTATGGATATTACGGTCTAGCAACGTTGCCCATTATTGCGAGAACACTCCGTGATAGCGTAATGCGGACACTGCCTATACAGTGGTCTACCTATACACTGGTCTACAGACAGTGGTCGACCTCCCCCACCAGTCCACATCGCAATCCCTGCCCTCCATCCGTCGTGACCGATTCAGCCTCGTCTTGTATTATTAACATTTTATATTAACAAGACCACTCCGCCAGACTTGATCCCTTCCTCTTCACATCACCTCACCTCGTGACTCATCCAGCACCATCCGCCTGATCCGGTAGGAAATTTCCAATTACAATCCCACTCTGGTCTCGACCTCAACTCATACCCATCCTCCTCCTCGTCTCTCCCCCGTTGAACCTCCACCCCCCACGCGGAGCCCCATGTCTCTGGGCTACCCGTGTCGGAAATCAACAGGATGTTGGGTACACACTGTCATGAGCAGGGATATCATCTGGGCGTTTGATGTTGAAAGATGTCGGTACGCAGTGCTTGTAGTAGATGGATATCGTAGATGCCGTATGTGTCGTATGCGTTGTATCAACCGATATTGTGCAGGTAGAGAAGCTGAGGAGAGAGTACAGAAAATACGGAGAGAGGAGGAGGAGAGTAGAGTGAGGATAGATTCGAAAGAAGGGAAAGTAGTAAAGATGAGATGGACCCATCAGTCTGCACCTGCCAACTAATATCATAGCAACTGCCGCCAAACATCACGAAGAAGCACACATTACATCACCAAAACACAAGAGAGCAAAGCAAAGCACTTCAAATTCCCTTCATTCGATTACGAAAAACCCCCCCTCCACAAAAGAGCACATATTATAGTTCCAACGCAGAATATAAAAGAAAAGAAAAACATGCACCCTATGCTCAACATCTCAATATATACATACATATATATATATCTTTTCTTTTCCTTTCTCTCTTGTCATGTTGTCTTGGTTTTTCCCCTTTTCAGCTTTTCTTCTTATCCCTCCCATGCCCAAATTGTCACACAAGAACGTTTGCAATTCTCAGCAACAAGTAGAGTACCGCATATAAGAAGGAGTCCTTTGTATCATGAAAAAAAAAAGTTGATATTTTCTTTTCTCGTTCTTTTTCCCCCCCTTCACGCCTGAAAGAGTGAGGAGGGAGGGGAGGGGTATCAAAACAAGTGATAAAGAGATGGTACGCCAGGAGGGGCGACTATTAGTAGATGTGGCACATGCTGTGCCAAACCCTCTAATGGAATGACAAGAAAAGCTAAGTGTTGTGTTTTTTTCTGGTGTACCCTTCCCGGTGTCATATGATGATTTTTTAAGTAGTGTCGATAGAAGCAACCCGTCGAGGAGAGGAAGAAGAAGAGATACCGGCTGGTGGTAATCATCATGGTATTCGTGACGAGCATCAGGGAAAACAATGAGTCGGCCATCATGGTATGCGCGCAGTTTTTTGTTTGTTTCCTGTTTCATCATAAAAGCGAAGTGATAGAAGGCGAGAGAGATGAGTGTGGGTAAAGAGTCGATCTCCCCCGTCCAAATTATACGGCCGTTTTCTTTGGTGTTTCAAATGCAAATGTCATGTCAATCCCCAAGAATGAAGAGCTAGTCATGTATCCCCACGATAGAAGATGGAGAGAGAAAAGATAGAGCCAGGTCATATATCCCCGGATATAAGGGAGAAAAGGAGCATCGTGTCGGAATCCGGTCTTGTTTGGGAGGCGGAGGAGAAGAGGGGGGAAAGGAAGAAGAGCTCGGGGCAATCATCACGTTCCCATCATCACACACGGGGCCCCCTTCGAGAGGAGGGGGGGGGAAAGCATACTGCCACTCATTGTACGTCCAACACACAACCGCCATCTAGGTGAAGAAGAGAAGGAGGGGGAGAGACGACAAGAGACAGACATCACACTGTGGGGGGGGGGGGGGGGGGGGGGGGGGGGGGGGGGGGGGTGAGGGATTTAGGAGCCCGGGGCAGGTGCGGGTGCTCCCTGCCCATCACCCTGTTGCTGCTGGTACATCAGGGATTGGTACCAGAGAGCAACGTAATTCTGGTATCCGCCATCTAGAAAGAGAGACAAGAAAAAGTGGTTAGCTCACGTGTCGGGTGGGTTCGGTCCTTTTGTCATCCTACATTGCGCATAAGGATCATTGGCATCTCCCTGGGTAGCTGGTGGGTTAGTAGGCTGATTAGACGAGGGTGCGGGCCGGTCATAGTCCTGGTGATGTCCACGGCCGCGGCCACCTGGCGGACCGCTGCTCTTCTGTCGCTGGGTCATGAGAAGTTAGTGTTCGTTCGAAGTGGAGGGTGGTGGTCGGGGG